CTTTCCCTAAGAAAGGTACCCAGGCAAACAGGAAAGGATTACGAGTTGTTGCTTAGCCGGTCAGTGTAGGTACAGTTACTATTTAATGAAATAGCAGCTGTGTTAAAACTCTTTCTGGCAACAAGTCAGCATATAACCTTTTATAAGAGGTTTTAATAGAAAAGAAATCTAGCTGCCAAATATGTACCAAATAAATGGATAGTTAATTGTGTGTGTAACAGGGGTAACCCACAATTTGTTTTATAAATGAATTTTTTTGGGGGTGGTATTTTTCACAGATTTTAATTTTAGGATTTTCTTCTGCAAATTGCTGCTGTAATTATTTCATGCTTAAACTTGATTGCCAGTCACTTTACCAAGTGTAAGACTTCTTTGGGTTTTTTTTTTTTTTAGTTTGTGTGGTTTTTTGTTTTTTCCACTTTGGTATCTTTCTTTTTCCTGTAACAAATGTGCCTGATGTTAGTTGGCAAGCAGTGGCTTTTTAGGGGCTGCTTCTGCTACGGAAGAGAAAAATATCAACTGTGTAAAGCTGATGCTGTAGATTTCTTTGTGCTCAGTGCAGTAAAAAGAGCTTATGGGGGTGGTGGTGATGAATCAATTCAGGGTACGTATCTGCTGGTGGTGCTGTCTTTGTTGGCATCTCGATATTGCTCGGTTGTAATACTTAAGTTTTTCTGTTCAAATCAGTGTTGCCGCTTCTCTTTCTTCCTGTGGAAGATAAACATTTCATTAGAAAGAACTCCTGAGAGGTCAAAAGATAGACACAAGCCTGAGGCAGTTCTGCTAATGATTTGATAACTACTTCCACGAGACCCGTTGTGGAAGACTTCAGTGATAAGAGAAGTCCAGTTCTGCAAGGAGGAGGGATTCTTCGAGGGCCCCCTTGGCTTCGGGCCAAGGGCACAGTAGGCTTGCTTGCATTTTCACAGTCCAGGCTTCAAGTAGGTCCAGCCGATAACCCAGCATTTCCTTCTTCCTGTCTCTTGTATGGTCTTGCTGACCTGTTTCTCTTCTGAATGGAGACCTGATGTATTGTATTGACTGTGAAAAAAATCTTTGGCTTTAGTAAGCCCATGTAAGGGAAGCTGCATGCATCTGTTTTTGAACACCTGCCTAACTCCTCCGTACCAAGATACCTTCTAGATGGTATTGCTGCAAAGTGCACAATACAAAGGCCTGAATTCTTATCTTGCACAGATTTCCAGTTTCCCAGGTTTTTTATTAGCCAGTCAGCTTCCAGGTAAGGATTGTATACAGTTTTCCAGAAAGTCCGACGTAATCAGACATACTTTGTGTGTGCTGTTCTCATGTTTTTGCTTGAAGCCGTGGGGGTTTTTTGAATGTTTTAAAATACTTTGTAAAGCGTATTTTTTGTAAATGAAGAGCAGGTACCTTAATGCATGTTCTTACATTTTAGAATGTGTAAAAATAAATCTTTAGTAACTAGAAAAATAAAAAACACCAGAAGTTTAATAATTCTGTTTTTTACACAACAGGTTTGTGGGTGACTTTGAAACTTCTTCCAGGAGATATTCATCAGATTAGGAAGGAGTTTCCACACCTAGTGGATAGGTCAACAGCTGTGGCTCGGAAAATGGGGTTTCCTGAGATCATTATGCCTGGTAAGCCATTGTATGAATCAATGCTACTTTGTTATAGTTTAACTTTCTTTAAATATCTGTATGTATGGAAGCTCTGGGGAAAATAAAAAGATGAATTTGAGGTATACATTAGAAATAATGGATCATCAAAGGATTTTATCTCATTTAAAATAAACGTGAAATACTTTGGTAATACCTGCCATATGTGCTGCAGCAATAAAAGCTAACAACCCTCCAAAAAAGATGTGATATTACAGTGGCAGTGGAGAATCTCCTCTTTTTCCAGTGAAGAAAAATGTATATGAAGTACACACTTCATATTATTTCCCTGGCAAGGGCATATGTAGAACTTATATCTCCCATGACGAATCCAAACCAGAAAGATTTTTCAGAGGAACAGGCTTGATTTAGAGATATGCAAGTCTCTTAGGATTTGTACTAGCTTTGGACAATGTATTTGAAAGAAAGCCAAGATTGTCTTTTTTTAAATACATATATTCTGTGGATATTCAGTTCTGGTGTTTACAAAAAAAACCCCCAAAAACGTGGTGCTTCTCAAAATAAAAACTACCATAAGCAACAGACTGCAGAAAAAACCTGCATTGTCCTCTCAGATTGATGGGCTCTGGAGGATCCATTAGATATTTTCAAAACCCATCCCGGTTCCAGCTCTCCCTGTGGTTCCTGACTGTGCGTTTGTCAGGTGTTTTACTGTATATCCAGTGTGGTGTAAGTGCCTCAGTGCCTCTGCTTGTTATCATCATATGTTGGCACAGAAACCATCTGCCTCGTGAAATTTGGGGAAACAGGGGATTTCCAATATTCATTTTCAAAACTTCAGTTGAATTCAGGTGTAGTTGAAGAGCATTTTAAGATACAAAGCTAAATATAGCTCTCCCGTGCAACCTCCAAGCCAGCAAAAACATCAAACCACTTCCCAGTGAAACAAGTTAAACAGACCTCTGTAGGCTGTTAAATGGTTTTAAATTGCAAAGTATCTGTGTATGGGATAAATTAATGACTGTGTCGAAAATGATCCTTTCAAATTAATAATGAAAGTAGTTGTGTTAAAAAAAAAAAAAAAAAGTGGAACTGAGGTGTTTTTTGAGTGATATGCTACATACTCTTAATGATGATGTGGTATTCTTTCAGTCCAGAAATAATGTGTGATTTTTAAGTCTTAGCACAATTTTAGCTGAACAGCTGTTTTCAGTACTGCTAGTTTTGAATGTTCAAAATACTGTGGCTTTTATATGTTTTGCCATGTATATGTATGACTGCTGTTACTAAAATGTGTTAGTCGTTGTTTCTATGCATTGTTGGTTTCACATATCAATAGGTACACTGTGAAAATTGCTAAGAACTTCATGCTTTGCTTTTTCTTTTAGGTGATGTTCGTAATGACATCTATGTAACATTGGTTCAGGGAGATTTTGACAAAGGCAGTAAAACAACAGCGAAGAATGTAGAAGTTACAGTGTCTGTTTATGATGAAGATGGCAAAAGATTAGAGGTATTACAGTATTTAACATCTGATGTTTTTTGATTTTGGTACATATCTGTTTAAGCCTTTTCAACATTTTTCTCTCTGTTTTTCCACTTAAGTCCCTATTTTTATTTACAACAAAACTTTCTCCTTTGTCATAACTAGATACATCTTGTCATATCAGTGTGTGCACTTTGATACTAATTTCACAAGGAACTCTCAACATGAGCCATTCTGTCTTATTTTGAGTGACTTCACTGTTTTTTTTTGTTTATTTAAACAAAAAAATGGAGTTTAAGATAGACATAAACATTTTCTCTTTTGTTTGTATTTTCAAGAGCGTTATTTTTCCTGGCGCTGGTGATGAAGCCATCTCAGAGTACAAGTCAGTAATATATTACCAAGTAAAGCAGCCTCGCTGGTTTGAGACTGTAAAGGTATATAAACTGTTACAGTAACTTTCTCTGTGTGGATTAATGTGCAATTAATAGAGGTTTCAGTGGAAAGCCTTGAGAAACAAAAATAGGGAAATTCAATGCCTGTGATCGTGCTTAGCAGGACAAAAGGAATAGCTCAACTAAGGAAGGCTTTCAGGGACTGCTGGAAAATAGATACGACTTTTATTGCATAATGAATTTTATTTCATCCTTTTGGTCAAGACGACTGTTATGGGGGCACACCAACATCTGTTTAGGAATGGTTTACTCTGTGTCCATAAAGCTGCCCTAGAGAAGCAGGTTATTAAGATTAAAACATAATTGCCATAGTGTTGAACTCATCAGTGTTTTGGGATCTGGCTGATTGTACTTTAAGCTTGCTGAATTTGCTTGGGTAATAACATTTTAGCTTAAATGCCAAGTTTTAATATTACAGAGGAGGCTGATGTTAGCTTTATAAAGTATATTCTGTCTAGCTGTAGTCAGTGGGAGCAGTATATGTGTGCTGAGAAGGGACTTCCAGCTAGTCCCCACGCGGTTGTTTTAAGTCCGAAGGTGCTCTTGTTGCATCTGTAGACAGAAAGTGGCTGCTAGAGAATGGCAGAAGCCTGGACGTGGTGTTGGGGAGTACTGTACAGCACAGAGCCTGAATGTAGGTGTAATTAAGAAAATATGACGGCTCTAGCAAAAATACGGGGGGAGAAGAGCATTGGTTACATCTCTGAGTGTTGGGCACATGTGGATGAGAGATACACGAATAATATATGTGGTACAAGTCTTGCATAGATAACAGATACATTAAGAATTTTTGCTTTGCTGCTGCTGATAGTCAGTCAAACTCAAGAAGGGCTCATTCCTGAGCTGGGGGGAGTGGTAAAGGAGGCTTTGAGGTTACAGCCCAACATCTGAAGTTGCAGGTGTTGTCGGGTAACTTAACAGGCTTGCTTTGTTCCTTCTCTCTTGCTTGGTGTGAGAATTGGCGATTTTTGTGGGAGTCTGTGACCTTTCAAGGCAAAATGAAGCCGGCACTTAGCATTAATCTTTTTGAAAGCGCCAAGCGTATTGTTCAAAATGTCTGGATGAGATTTGGTAGTGGTCGATGATGTTTGAAGATATGACACTGACTCTTTTCTTTCTCCGTCCTCTTTCCCAATATATAAAGGTTGCAATCCCCATTGAAGATGTGAACCGGAGTCATTTAAGGTTCACGTTTCGTCATAGATCATCACAGGACTGTGAGTAATTCAGCCTTTTAATTATGGTTCTTCTCAGTGTCTGATGCCAAAATCTGCTGAAATGACCATAACGTTCCTAATCTGTAATGGACTGTTGTAATCGCTTTTAGTGTGGGGATAAGTTTTGGTGGGTGTGTTTTTTGTTTTGTTGTTGTTTTTTTTTTTTCCTGCTTATTTTATGTTAGCATCTCAGCAGCTTTTTCTCTTTACGTCTTCCTCACTCTTACCTGTCGATGTCAAGTTTTTCCCTTCCTGCCCAGTTATTTCTCCAAGTCAAATAAAAGGCCTCGTGGATAAAGCTTTCAGTTAGCAACTGAAAGGGCTGTGATATTGGATATCTTGGAGGTAGGTGGGTAGGGAGTAGTAAAGATAGTTAACAACCCCGTGTGAGAAATGGAAATGTGAAAGAATTTATAGTAGGCTTAGCATCAGTAATTGAAGACTTGGCTATTAAGAAACTTGGTTTCTGCTTCTGGTTCTCAGACGGACTTGTGGTTATTTTGCAGTAGTTTTGGACTAAAAGATATTTGAGAGCTTGTGGTTTTGCTCAGCTGTCCTGTAATGTTGCTGGCAGCTGAGATGCTTTGAGCTGTTGAGGATCAAATTGAGACAGATAGACATCTTCCATTTGTCAACAGTTGTTTTGTAGTAAAGTTTGGGGATTTGCCTTGTTTGTGATAACGTTCGTTCCAAATAGTGATTACGGAGGCTGTCTCTCCTGATAGGAAAGCCTTTCTAAATCTGCAGCAATTTTTTTTGCTGTAGAATAAATGTGTAGACAAAAGCATTAATCAGATAGTGTCCACTGGCTGCATTTTAAGACATGTAATACTCTTCATGTATCTGTGTAATAGGTAATACATTACCCCATAGCGGTTATTTAATTGAAGATATATATTTTGCCAAATTCAACATTAATAAAAGATTTGCTTAGTTTAGAGAATAGCACTTAGTAATGAAAACAATGTGCTGAAAATCAGTGTCATTAGTATCAAAATTATGGTTGTGTGCTACAAGTTACTAGAATCAGACATATTTTTACGATGACTCAAAAGTTTAGGTTGGCCATGGTTTAAATACTCAATAGAGGCTGTGCCTTAGGGCTGCAGGGCTTTCTCACAGGCTCCTTGGGCTCTCTCAAGTTGATTGCACTTTCCTTCTGGTTTTACTTCTTAACTTACTTTGTGATTTCTATTTGCCCTGTTGCTTTGTTTTTACTTAAGTTTTGATAATAGATTTTGAACAATGAGAGCAAACTGAATGCATTTTCTAGTTCATGTTGGTTGTAGAATGGGTCAGCTTTCAGAAGCTTAGGCACTTCATTTGTAGTTGTGGATCCAGTTTCTGTTTTGGTTCTAATGTTCCCTCTCCAAATGATAGAGCCCTGGTGAGATCCTCAGTGCTGGTCATTAAATCATTATTCTAGGTACCAAGCACTGCCATTCTTCTAACTCCCATAAGCCTGAACATTAAAAATGCATCAGATTTCTGTTTTGTTTTTAAAAAGTTGCCTTAATCCAGCTTTCTAAAAGAACAGACAGAATATAGAAATGTTAAGCATCTAGTTACTGTTGGTGTGGTCAGATTATTAATGCATTTATTTTGCATTTTTTTTTTGGTTCTATCTTGCGTTTAGAAGACTTTCCTAATTTTTTGTACACTTTATCCATCTGAGAAGCTTTACTATGGTCATTCATTTACAGGTTATCCATCTTTTTGAGATTTAGGTGGACTGTCTGTATAAGTATCAAATATGTAATTATGTGTTGTTTTTTTTAACAGCCAAAGATAAATCTGAGAAAATATTTGCCTTAGCTTTTGTGAAGCTCATGAGATATGATGGAACAACTTTGAGAGATGGAGAGCACGACCTTATAGTTTACAAGGTAGAATTTCGAGATACTTTAGTCTTTGCATAGTAGTTAGCTCAGCTGACTGACTTTTAGTGAATTGCTGTTACAGAATTGCACAGAAGAATGTGTTATAGACTATTCTGTTAGATCAGGCAACTAAATAGCAAGTACTGTGCAATTTGCATATTTGGCAGATTGATTATTAAACCTTGAATACATTTCGCTGGGGATGTTTTAATTTTAAGTGCACTTGCTACGGAGTTTTATGTGGGTTTTCATGGCTGGGAAAAGTTACTCCTGTAGCCCTTTAAATATCACGTCTTGGCTCTAATCCGTAGACAGGTTAGTGCTAAATTACTGCTGTTAAAGGCCTGTTGGATAGCTCCAACTCTGGAGCAAACCTAAGAAAATCTAGTGTAAATAATAAAATGTTATTATTACCAAGTTTTTTTTACTAGGTATTTTCAAATTGTTTCGTGTTATATTGAAAACATCACTCTAGGCAGAAGCTAAGAAGCTGGAGGATGCCTCAACATATTTAAGTCTGCCATCCACTAAAATAGAATTGGAGGAAAAGGGACACTCTGCAACAGGGAAGAGCATGCAGAACCTCGGAAGCTGCACCATCAGCAAAGACTCTTTCCAGATTTCTACTCTAGTGTGTTCAACAAAACTTACCCAGAACGGTAAGTTCATAGAACTGCTGGAGCTTCTGCTCCTCGCAGTTGGAGTGGGGTTGTGTATACTGACTTTCCTGCCTTCTCTGTCCCCCTTCCTCGGTGAGTGGATGGTGGGTTGTTTGCCATGCAGTCTTGGATTAAATTGTCGAGACGCAGCAAAAGCATCTACTGAGTTTGTGTACTGCCCAGCCTTTTCTCTGCCCATGGACTTTGTTTTGCTTTAGAGCAGTACATGTCTCTAAGAAAACAGAAGGATCCCGAGTTAAATGGAAACAGGAATATTGTTTACCATATAGTTGAGATTTTTATACTGAAGTACACTGAAAACAGACTCTGTGGCATTTTACTTCTCTGTGGGTATGAATAATAGCACTAAGGAAGAGGATGAGTTTGTTTTCAAGAGTAGGTAATACCATGGCTCTGCTCCCAAATAAGCTGTTTTATGTTATTTCCAAGGTGCAATATCTGTATCTTATGCCTGAAGAAAGCTCTCATGTTTTCTTGTGTTGTGTAGAAGGGATGTGAGCGTGAGAATGTGTTGCATGAAGGTCACTGTCACGTTCATACATCTTCACATGAACACAGAGTGCAAGGAATGGAGTTGGCGTATTTTATTCCTTTTAAAACTTGCCTTATATACATTTCTCATGTGTATTTGTCAGCTGCCTGACTGTATCCAAAGGCTGGGGAAAGCAGAGCTGATGGCAGCCACCAAAGCGAGTATTTCACATTTCCAGATTCTAATTTTTGTGCTTTGTTGCCATGGAACAGTCCCTTGTTCTCTTCCCTGCGCCAGAAGTAGACTGGGGAGTGTGGGTGGGTCATTGAGATGTGCGTGAGTCATGGCAGGGGAAGGGATCATTCCTTGGTGACTCAGGAGGAGGGAGAGCTCAGTTTGGGTAAATCTGTCGGGAGTCGAGGTTGTGGATGAGGAAGGCTTGGGACAGGATGGGGTGGGTGGGAATAATGATTGGATTGTCACGTTAGTGAGTGCTTCTCTGTCCAGGGGGAAAGTTACTACTCTGGTACAACTTCGTGGTCAACTCGTAATTTTATTGCAGTGTTTTTCAGTGGCATCTCTGTTGTAGCACATCCTAGGTGTTTCATATTCAGAGCACATCTGATTCACTGCAGTCTCTCAGTCTTAGAGCCTAAGAGGGTGTTCAGCAAAAAATTGGGAAATTATTTTGGAATTTCATAGCAAAGATGGGATCATAGCTCAACAGTAACACAGTGGCTTTGTGGTTTTGTAGAATGCAGAAACCAGCATGTGGAATTGAGCTGCTTTTTGTCTGTGATATGATTAGTTTGTGTGTGTGTTTGGTTGGTTGTTTTTTTTTTCCCCTCCTCAGTCTTTCCTCATGCTTGTTAGTTGTTAGAAGTATTTCAGAGTGATCAATATATTGACATTGCTTTTGTGGCACTATTATTAAAATTAAGACTGAACGTTGTTTCATGCTTAATTGACATATAATTTGCTTTGAACTTTTGATCTTTGTTTAATGTTACTGTTAATTATGTTGTCTGGGAAACTTTCTCAAAGTTGCCAAAGCCTTTTCTCTTTCTTCAAAGTATTTTAACATTATTAAACAAGATCACCATGTATCCTTAAGCAATTTAGAAAAGAAAAAAAAATTTTATCATTAAATTCCTCTCTCAAGTATCGTTTTCCATCTAAAAATTGGCAGTGCTGTTCAGATTATAGTTTCTGAAGCTGATTTTAACTTCTCTAAAATTGTTGGTTAATAGTCTTCCTTTAACTTTCTTAAAAATAAGTAAGTAAAAATCCATGATTATTTCATTTGCCAAAATGTTGTGGCAGAACATAATTTTCTCTTTTTGGTTATTTATAATAGTTCTTTCTTCACCCTCTGTAAGTATCTTAGAATTGGCTCTAAGACTGACTTTTAGTAATACTGAAAGTAAGTTAATAAATGATGTGGCTCTTTCTACATTGTATTTGATGTTGCAGACTATCTTTTTGTGTATAAGCTCTTTGAACACTCACTTGACTTCAGTTTTCTATGAACTGTAAGTTATTAATGTTACTTTTCTGTTCGTAATTGATGTCCTTAGCATCTGAAAATTCTCCAAAATAGCAGACTTGGCCACTGGTAAGACCTCAGCTGTTTTCTTGTGAGAGAAAGTGATAGTATGAAGTATCTACTTAGTTAACATTTGAGCAGTTGTTAGTGATCTGTAGCAGAGTATGTTACAGCAACACATTTCCTGGCCTTTTCCTAGATTTTGCATTTAATTTTGAGGAAGAGTAGCAATGTAAGCCGAAGAGGAGGACGGTCTGAAAACAAGCAAGAAAACCCCATTCCTGATGTGATGTCCATGTCAGGATTGTGTGTTGATCTTGTTTTCCTTTTTCTGAGTAGCCTGTTGAGCTATGACAAACTGAAGTCTTGTTTTCTTCTGCATAGACAAGGCAGTTTTGGTATTTGAATCTTTTTCTGTAAACTAGAAACTGGAGATACCAGGAAATACAGAAGGAGGGGCAAAATGGCATGAAAAGCGACAGCCCGCTTGGCACGAAGACTGCCTGTGGATAGTAAATCTTACCAGTGCCTCTTACAGGACTATCGAGATGGATGCCCTTTTATTATCAGGGTGCTGGGAATAGAACTGAAATTGCATTAATGGGCTTGCTGGAAAATTTTTCTAATTACAGGTAGTCAGAGAGCTGTCTACTCTTCTACCCCTGTATTTGCTGTTGTGAAGCATCCAGGGTATCTGTAAGGCTTATTTAAACTATTTCTGTGTTTTCTTTTCTGCCTGAAGAACTCAAACCTCTAGATAATGGTGACTGTTACTGATCTGGAGTCAAGACTTTGAGGAATCAAGGCGACTAGTCTTTCAGAATACAGTTGAGAGGAATTTTACTCAATTATCAATTGTGCTGAATGACTAAAAAAAAGGCAAAAAGCAATACACGTGATGTGACAAATTCAGGTGCTATAGTAGCATAAAAATGAAGATGTAAATACAGAATTAAAATAAGTCATAAAGAGTGGAAAATCAAATGGTTAAGGTCAAGAGGGAAGATTATCAAAGGACAGAAATTTAATTAGAGTGGAAATATTACATAACTTCAGTGACGGGGCTTTGAGAAGAGTTTGGGTATCTCTATGGGGAAACCTTTGCATAGATACAGGTCAAGGATACTGTAAAACCAGGAAGTTTGCTTCCAATTGCTAAATGTGATGTAGAAGAAAATCTTCATATGCAGTCAATATAATCATAAATTACATTAACCCAAATAAAGTAAAGTTGCTATTGGGTACTTGGCAAGCTAGATATTTGTTCTAACTCTGCGACTGAAAATCCTTATTCTGTCTCCTTCCCCTGATATTTTCTGATCACAAAAATTTCACTTGGCCTAGGCTGACGACAGTACTACTATTTACTAAAGGCTAAAATACTGTTTTATCTTCTCATCCTGTTCTACTCGCTGTATTATTTTATAGCTAGACCTATTAAAACAGTGGGATTAACTGACTGACTGGTACTTTGCTGGGGTTAATGTTTGGAGTAACAAAGTGAATGCAGATTTTTACTGTACACTGTAACTTATTTTTCTCTTTTTCCTAGTTGGACTGCATTGACCTTTTCTGTTCACATACGTATATTCGTTTAGCATTTGCTTTGTCATCACGCTGAAAGTACACGTGGGTTTGTTTTCTTGCGGCAATACATGATGCTGTTCAGAGATAGTCTATAGGCTTGCTTTTGTTCAGATAATTTCTTTTGTCAAGCTGATGCCTTTTTAGAAGTCAGTCCGAAACCAAATCTGGTGGTGGAAAACTGATACAAACATATTCATGAAACAGTTTCGATAACTCCTGGAGGCATCTTTACTTTTCTTCCAGAAGCAATTTTTCTGTTAATGTGGAGTTTCTAAGACTTTGGTTTCAACTTACAGACTTCTTGTAGGATATCTTAAGAAAAATGAAAAATTAAAAAAACTGAGGGCTTGAATTGTTCAAAGCTTTAATGTAGTAAACCACTCTTTACTTCTGCTTCCAAAGAGATGACAAGGAGACTCGGTTTGAGTGCTGCTCAGAGGGGAATCTATCCCAAGGAGAACTGCAGGCCATTCCACTGGAAGTAAATTTATTTATTGCTTAGAATGAAAGATTTTGGGGGAAGTATAGCATCTCCTCTAGGTCTGTGCATACAGTTTCCAGAATATACTCTGCAGATGCATGCCTTGGTAAACATTTTGTTGGTTGCTTTGAAAGTTTGAAGAGAAGGAGTGAGAGGTTACTGGTTGGGAGAAACCACCTGTCCTTTAAGAGTTACGTTGGGCAGAATTCATGTAATATTAACCATATTGGGGAGTGGGTAATGTGCAGTAGTAATACGGTGGCTAAACTGAAGGTAGACAGTCTTTAAAATCTTCTCTTTGTCTCTCTTTTGGGGCTTCTACTGAGGATGACTTACTGAGGATAGTTTGTTTTGGGCTGAAAACTGACTTTTAATGGGGTAGGGAGGATTTTTTCCCTGATGCTAGTTTGGCTAAGGCAGGATGAGCTTGAGGTTTTGGGTTTGTAGGCAGTTCAGGTCACATCTCAACAAATGCTAGGGTGGGTTTAGCTTACTAGTGCTCCAGCGTGGTTGTTAGTATTTACTAGCATGGTTATTTGCAAGGGAACTCCAATTGTGAGTTCCTTGTGAGAAGTTTTCCTTAAAGGAAAATGAAAAATGATGTTGTGGCTCTTTATGATTAATAAGAGAGAACAAGCTTGCCTTCTGTATTCCCTTATTTCTCAGTGAATGCTGAAGTGACGCGATGTTAATAGAGGGATGTAGAATTTGGGGACAAGAGCATTTGCAGTTGATTTGTTTCATGGTCTGATCTGTTCTCCATCACTTGGAAGCAACCAAGTGATTTGGGCATTATGAGTTAGTAAGCAGACAGCTTTCCACTGAATTAGCTTAGTTTGCAACTGTTTGCCTTGCTTTGTGCCTTATTTTCTTTTCAGTTTATTCAGTCAGAGCAAAGAAGCTAGAAACACACTGAAAGAGTCACGGCCCTGTAGATATGACTGTGTTGGTGGCTGACTAATTTCATTTTGGCATCTTTTTCTAAACACACAACTGTTGTGTACAGCAAATTAAAACTGAGGGATCAGACTTTCTTGGCCTAGATTTTAATGCTGACATTTCAAAAGCAGGCTGCTTTTTTGAAAGCCTTTCAGAGTTCTTTCACGATAGAAGTATTGTACTAGTTTTCTGCAGTGTCAGAGGCATACTAGAAATACGTTGTTGTCCAGTGAAATGATTGACCTAAGGAAGTAAACCTATTTGTCTTGAACATAGCAGGGCGAGTGAGTGAAAGTAAATATCTTGCATGATATAATTGTTTTTCTTATTCCTAGTTGATCTCTTGGGACTGCTGAAATGGCGATCAAACACAAACCTGTTGCAGCAGAATTTGAAGCAGCTGATGAAAGTTGATGGTGGTGAAGTGGTTAAGGTAACAAGTTAATTTCTTTAAAAATAAATTTGGTATCATAATTTTGCTGAATCCCATATTTTGAGGTATTCATCTCTTTTTTGTTCCCCACCACACCCCCCAACCTCACTGCATGCACTTGCACATTGAATTGTAACCAGGTATCTCTCCGCCTTCAGGATGCTAATGCTCTTCTCCCTGCCCTCAAAGAACATTTCAGATGTTGAATACTGGTAAAACACATGTAAGATGCAGATTTCCAAAGAAGCAGAGTGGTTTTTTTTAACACTTCAGTGAATTTTTATATACAGCTACATGAAGGCAAAGGGTGTTTTTCTTTGCAAGATTAGAATATCTTGGAATTCTTACATGGTGATATTAAATGTATTTTTAAATATATGGATGTGGAATGCAATCCTACTGTGTCCTGCTGATATTTTTTAAAAAAATAAATTATTTCTCCTGAAAATATTTAGCTGAGCCAAGTTATTTACATTTACCAAGGCCACTGAGTGATTGTAGAGACCTACATAAAGACAGATTTAGCTGTGGAACAGAGCAGGCTGGGACTTCATTGAATGTGTTGTAATAAATCAAATCTAAAAGAGTGTCAAAAGAGGTAATGTATTGGGGACAGATGACCCTTCAGTGCCTGTAGTGTTGTTACCTTACTTCAGGGGATTTTAATTTGGTTCATAGAAGCATAATGAGTGCCTTATCTTGAAGTAACTTAAAACATCTGAGAATGCTGATATTATCCTTTATTGAATGTGGTGAAAATAGTATCTCACATGATTTGTTTTTCAGGAAGGTTCTATGTGCTGCTATTTTGTTGTGGATTATTTGATGGCTAAAAACTTGACATCAATACTTGCTTCTGCAAAGCTTCTGTCGTAGTTCTGTCATAGTTCTCCAAATGACATCAGAGAGTGTATGGCAGTTACTGCATGATGGATATTGGTGATTTTTGAAGCATCAGAATGCAGCACAAACGAGGTTTAAGTAAAAGCAATATCGGAGCAAGTTCTGCAGCTGGCACACGCTCACCCCTCCCTGAAGTTGTTGCAGCACTTGTATGAAATCGTAGTTCCTTCTCCCTATTGCATAGGGATCTGAGCAGAACTTGATTTCTGCGTAGGACAGGAGAGTGAAAGTTTAGTATTGCACTCTTCACCATTTTTATTCTTTTTTTAGAAGACCACTGTTGACGTTATCCATCTGTTACAGCAGTGTTCAGAAAAATCTTTGTGTAGACTGCTGTCTAGTTTGTAACTGTTTCTTTCTATTCTTTCAGCTTTTTTTGTCCTTCATGTTTTTAAATGCGATACATATATTACGATACATATATTAAAAAAAGTCCGTATGTGATAAAACATATTAAAATTTTCCGTTAAACTATTTCTACTTTTTTAAAAGTCCAGTAAAATGCCTCTGCCTAGTGGTGTTCATTTATTGCTAAGTAGAGATCAGCCGAGATACTCATTCTGTGACTGACTGTTTCAATAGTGTATGGAAGCTATAAATGTTATCTCCCTTTAACAGAGGCTCTCACTCCATTTGTGCATAGAGTCTATAGGGTATGAGAAGGTAAACTAGTAGTCTAGAAATTATTCATACTAGGTCCCTACCTGAGAAAGGTTTTCCTGCCACTTTATACAACAGAAGCATCTATCCTGTATTCTTCTTGCTGTTACATGAAGTCCTTGTGAACAGATGTAAAACTTGAACTCTACTAATGAAAGTCAGTATATGATGCCTAAATGTGAAGTGAAGACTTGATTGGTACTGTCATGGCCTTCTGACCATCGTTTGTTTTTAAAGGGACTTAGCCAGGCAGTGTTTGGGATCTGAGAGTATCGCTTCTCTTCAGACCAAGACAGAAACTTCTCCTGTCAAAGCTCAAAACTGTGCTTTACTCTTCCCTTCCTGCCAGCTGCTGGTCAAATGCACTTTATTTGCATGTGTTCTTTAATGGAACAAATGGGACTATGAGAAGGCTATCTTTTTTTTTTCCTTACAAATCCTGTAGTGAAATTATGAGCTGGATCTCTCCCAGAACTGAAGTCTAAAATAAGCTGCAAGCATTTTGGCGTTTCTGTTTTTTTCATCTTCAGATACTAGTAGCATGAACTGTGGCTCCATGTTCACTTGTTTTGAGGAAGTTTGGCATTCAGCAGCGTTTAGTGAGCTGCTAAATGGAGGTTAATTCCTGAGATGTAACTCTAGATTTAGTAGACAGTCCAGGTGAATCATGTTTGATCTAGGAGACTCATTGCATAGATAAAAATTTTTAAGGGAGGAAGGTGAGAGTCAAGCTGTTTTTCCGTCACTCTCACAGTGTATATAATGTCTCTTTCTAGTTGCAGTCTCAGGAATCAATTGCCTTCTGCTTGTTCAGATGTTCTTCCCCAACTGTACCTTGTCTCGTCTACAAGACAAAAACCATTTTTACTTCATTTGAGACAGACGTGCTGGAACAATCCATGTTGAACCCTTTCTTTCTCAATCAAAGCAAGTAGAAACTGAGGCTGTGATCCATCCTTATTCTGCCTTGGAGGAACCCATGTCCTTTTTGTGTCATCTGGTGGAAGAAAGTGCTCAGACACAGAATCCCATGCCGATAAATCTCGGTGTGTTGATGAGTATCTCTGGGCCATGCATGGATTACTTGCTGTCACTGGGAAGAAATACTGTAATTATACATGCGTAAAACAGCTTTTATCCCTCTGCTTAACTTGAATCTCCTGACACTAATCTGCTTTTACTTTCGTGTTGCACAGATCAGGGTGTCCAGCCAGCTGGGTAGTGAAGACTCTTCCTCTGTTACAGTGAGAGAGGCGTGTAGGTTTTGGGCTGGGGCAGAAGGTTGTGTGCTCTGTTTCCCATGCCTGCATGTGTGCTCTCATTTGAAGTTGTGGATCTGAGTTTATGCAGTCATGAAAAGCGATGTGCTGTGCACTCTTCATTGCTGAGTGCAAAACTACCAAAAATGATGTGATTTATTTGGCATGAGACTCAGTTGCTTGTCTGGTTTGTGCTCTGAAACATCAGTTTTCAGAAACTGCATGATCCTGTTGACTGTATGTTGAAACTGAGTTTTTTAAATACAATTTTGTTCCTTCACTATAATAGATTAAACCCCTTGTTCAGGTGTACCAAGTGTGATTTCTGACTTTTTGTTTTTCTATTTGAGTGATACAGATGTATAGAAAATCACTAAAAAATAATTTGCTGAAAACAAAAATGTTAAGTTTTCCTTTTTTTGGCTAACTTTTAAACATGTCTTTACTTTGTACAGTGTATAAATGAAAGCATATATGTCTGTAGAAACCTGTGTGAAATCTGAATTTTCATTTTTCCTGTAAAATGTGATGACCTGTGTATTTATTTGTAGTTTCTTCAAGATACGTTGGATGCACTTTTTAACATAATGATGGAAAACTCGGAGAGTGAGACATTTGACACGTTAGTGTTTGATGCTTTGGTAAGTTTGCACTGTGGATGGACTAAAATGTAGATACTGTAATGGTGAATAAATAAAACAAACATGGTGTAAATGCTAGAATGAAGTTTACTAGTGAAAAAGATCTTCCTAGCTGTTATTTATTTATTATTTGATTTAAAAATTATATTTGAGGTTTCAGTTGGACTTGGTCAAAAGGGCTTGCATTACATCATGTCATCCTCCCAGAAAAGATGGAAGCAATCCAGTCCAGTCATTTTAGCGGATTAACAGCAGAATTTAGATTTAGGACAGAAACAGAAAGTTCCTGCTTAGAACAGAAAACTTTGTTATGAACAGGAAGTTTTCACAGGAAAAGAGAGTATTAATATACTGGAAGGATAATCAAAAGCCAAAGTCTGTGTGTTTTAATGTTATTAATATGTCTTCTCTGAAAATAAAGGTGGTTGAATGTACAGAAGCAAAGATTTTTTTTTGAGGATAATGCAATAATTACACTGTTTTTTCAGGTGTTTATCATTGGACTGATTGCTGACAGAAAATTTCAACATTTTAATCCTGTCTTGGAAACCTACATTAAGAAGCATTTCAGTGCCACGTTAGCCTACACGTAAATTTTAAGATTTACTTTTTCTAATGTGGCTTGCATATTTTTTCCAGATAATGCTATTCAGTTACTTGTTTATGTAGGTTAATTAGGAATTTGCCCACAGAGCTTGGGAGGGTGGGAGGTTCTTGAAGAAGACTGGAGATAATATATCTTTCTCTCTTGAAATAATAGTAGTAAAACATTTGATTGCTTGCAAGGAGGAAGTCTTGATTTTGTTGTATTGAAGGAGGGGATGATTTGACGATTTCAAGAGTTGTTTTGTAAGGAAAGCATTCATAAGCAATTCTCAGTCATTTTTGGGAAAGAAATAGCGTCCATTTAAGATGCTTCAAATATATGTTGTTTGATGCTTTAAATTGATATTCTACGCTGTATCATCTGCGTTACTGTCACTTTGGGGAGGAAGCAGTGAGGAACAAAAAAAAAAGTCTGTTATTTTTGCTGTCTTAGTTATTTCTTGACAGTTAGGATCTTTGCTACTGCTTCAGACTATTAGAGTTGGAGGAAAAATGTATAATGGGTATCTTTGCGGTGCTGGGAGAAAACCAAATCCAAACTGGGAAACCTGCTGTGCACTTTGCTATTATAGAGTCTCTGTTATGTGACCAGAAAACGTTTGAGAAGTATTGATACAAAATAGTGGAGAAGAGTTAGGCCTTTAGTCACAACTTTTGATACTGCAATCGCTTCACTGAGTTACAGCAACACAGCCTTTGTGTGAAGTGAGTAAAGGTTGAAGCATCCTCCAGCATCTGGCTTTATTAGCAAGAGCTGAAGGTGGCCCTTTCACTGGTAGGCGTGGAGAGCATCCTTCCCTTCCTTCAAGGCAAGAAGGCAGAAACAGGTTTAAGCTTGAGGAAGCTGGAAGAGCTGGATTCTGGCTTGGCTTGTGCCCATGGGCATGACAGATCCCTGCCCTCTCCCTGCCTTTTATTGCGCAAATTTTTTTACTTAAAGAGAGGTTGTATGGACAATATCGAAGTGGTTACTTGAAATTCTTCGGCAGTTTACTCCCATTCAAATAAATGCCCATATATCAAGATACGTGTCTACTCTGTGTTATTTTCTGTTAGTGGTGTATAATGTTGTACTTCCTTACTTCTACTGTGAGTGTTGAAACATGCAGTGTAGCTTGGATGACTTAAAATGGAATTGCTTGTATTTGCATTAAAATCATGATTTATATTCATTGGAAGGGAGGTAGTTGAAATGGTATTATTTTAAAAATTGTTTCTCTTTCAAGTTTGATAGACTTTAAAATGTGGGATAAGAGAATTTGGAACTGGTGTTATATACATTTTTGAGAAATTCACAAATTCTAGCCCAAAATCCATCGTACAGCTATGTAAAGGGGAAACCTTGTTCAAGGAAGAAACTCCCATTTTATTATTTTTAATTAATTTTTTTTATTTTATGTCATTATTTTTCATTATTTTAATTATTTTTATTATTATTAGCAGTTGCATCTTTATAATAGCCTAAATCTGAATATCACTAAATATCCAGCAGAAAATAAGTCTTATTAAGATTTGCTGTATTGTTTGTATGTGTTTTTTCTTTTTTCTCAAGAATAGATTGCAACTACTTACCAGTGAAAACAAGAACATAATGAATTTATTAGCTGCATAATTAATTGTATAACTCGGTGGGCACTACTTAGGCACATGATTTTTCTTTAAACCTTTCAAAACTGCAATTCTTCTCTGCAAACACACTTGTAACTTGTATGTGTTTTTGTATTTAAACAGAAAACTGACTAAAGTTTTGAAAACATACGTGGATAATGCTGAGAAGTGTGGTATCACTGATCAGCTCTTTAAAGCTATGAAAGCTTTGGAGTACATCTTCAAGTTCATAGTCCGGTCCAGGATATTGTTCAATCAGTAAGTATGATGAATGCTGAAACCTCCTGTAATTCCCATTGGCGATATAGTTCAAAAAGTGTCAACATTTTTTAACACCACAACTTAAAGTTGCTCAATATTGCACTGTTTTAGAAACATCTGAAGTTGTTCGAACTTATTTCAAGAGACAGCTGTTCCCTAGGAGCAAGCCAGATTTCCTTAACAGAGATGTATATTTTAAGTAGTGGTGCACTGCTAAAATTGTGATGTGTTTCAGCTCTCTATAGTTTAGGTCTCTGAACAAATCAAGCCTGCCGCTATTTGGGAAACTTTTGTTAATAACTAACTGGTACTGCGACTGAAATGTTGAAGGTACCAAGTAGCTGTACTGCCCTGTCCCTCATCCAGGCCTGGGCTTTCCTAGCGACTTTCCTCAGATGGCTGCAAAACTCTGGGAAGACTAAGGTATTGAAAATTTTGCAGTAAAGCAAAGGGAGAGCTTTTCTGGATGGGAGATGTGATGTTTGTCCTTGCGTGGTGCTTGCAGGGCTCAGGGAGAAGCTGTGGTTTGCAGAGGGCTTTATTCGTAGGCCAGACATGGGGAGGCAAGAGAGTCAGACTAGATGGGCAACGAGAGGGGAAAAGGAGCACTTTTTTTTGACACACTTTTTTTGACACACTGCCGCATAAAAGAAAACCACAAGTATTGTTGGAGTTAAACCCCCAAGAGCTTGGAGCCCCCCAGGCCCCCCACCTGTCAGAGCCTAAAGAAGCTGTTGGTGGTTGGTTGCTGTTTGTAGGGCCCTGCGCTCTTAGTAGGTTTCAGCAGAGTGAGACAGAAAAGTGGAAACAAAGAAGGGCTGCAGAAATCCTGTCCTCAAGAGTGACGGTATTTTCGAGAGGAGAATCATTTGAGTTTCTATAAAAGCCCTTTCCATGCCTGCCGGCGTGGCAGAGTCTTGCTGGGGGGCTGTTTTCTGCTCACCACTTGACCTCCTGCATGGTGAACTGCAGAGATTCACTGGTGCTGTCTGCAGTGGGCATCCATCCATAAAGTCAAGCATAAATAATTATTCTAAGTTAATTTGGAAGTGAGTACTGGGTTTTATATACGAAATATTAAAAAAGTTACAAAACAAGTTGATGTATTTGTCTTCACTTAGGTTCAATCCTTTTACTACTTGTTAGTGATGCTAACAACCTTATTACAAGGGATTTCTGTAGAGCTCTGAAGTTACCAACTCCACCAACCTTTCTCTAATTTAGAGATTGCAATTTATTTCTGTAGGAGTCTTGCTGCGAGATTCATAAAATACTGAATGTCACTTACACTGTTGCAGGTTCTACAAATCATTTTAAAACTGAAAAAAATAATTATCTCTTGCTGCAGACTAGATTTACAGACAATATGACCCTCTAGTTTTGGCCATTGGATTTCCTCGTGCTAAGCACTAATTCACAGTTCTTTAGCGTTGGGAAGACACAACTCACAATGACAAGGGATTAATCAGTAGAGCTACTGAATGCTGAGTGACACCATGATTTGTTCTGCTGTAAGACTTAAATCCTGCCTGAGGTGTGTGATTTGAAGTGATTATAATGCAGAAGTGTAGCAGTGTTCTGAAATATCATTAGTGTTTTACTGAGAAATTGCAATGAGCAAGCAGAATCTTATTAAAAAATATTACATATTTTTAACTTCAGTAATACAGTAGTGGACTGAATATATGGATCATTTTAGTAATGCGGTTGCAGGAAAGCTTCAGTTCTGGATAAATACGTAGAAGCCTAGTTCATCTAGTTAAAACCTGCTGGCAAATCTATTTGTTCAATATATCAAGGTTTATAAAGGCAAAATATTCTAAGAACTTTAGCATTGTCTTTATTTGTTTTACTCAGTAATGATCCCAGTGGTTATGTTGCATTTACAGCAGTCTTAAAATTTTGAAGGTAGTGCTGGAAGGGTCAACTTGGTGTAATCCTGGTTTTCTTGTAGCTGCAGTGTTTTTTGTGCATTATCAGGTGTATTAAATAAATATATGTTAATAACTGACAGTAAAAACACATTTGTGACTAACTTGTTTATTTTTATTACAATTTCCTTTTTGAAACACAAAGCTTTTTGTCTGAAGCAGTTTGATTTATTGGACTGTCAAGTTTAGTTTCTCTTTACATTGGTATTAGTTTCACCTCTCTAATCTGTTCAGGGGGACACTGAAATCCATTATTGAAATTGGGAGTTAACAAGTAATTTGTCCTTCATAACCCCCAGTTTTAACCTAAAAGGCGAATAGAAGTTTGCACAGCAAAATAACACAATTCAATATTTTTTCTGCAGCATTCATTTCCCCTGTGTACTGGTTAAATAGCTTTTTTTAATGTCTGCGGCTCCCAAAGGTTTATGAACACAGCATTAAAAATGATACACATTAGTTTCAGTGTAAAGCAGCAAGAACATTCTGAACTCCATGTTTATCTTAAGATAAGCCCCTTTCCTTCTGTAGTAGGTGGTCCATCATGATATCTTTGAACTTGAAGAAATCATACTATGACTGCACCTATAAAATTCCTGGGTGAGGTGCCCTTTATGAGCTGCAGACCACATTCAAGACCTTCTTACTGGGTTTAACTCCAGAGGAAAATGGAGGAAAATAGAGGGGAATTGAACTCTTGCTGGGAGCTGCCGTAATGGGTCTTTGTGCAAAATGTTTAGGTGGGCTCAGGGACAGAGCTAGTGGAACCGAGGAGTTGGGTAAGGCTCTTGGAGGCAATCAAAGCCAACCGGGTAAGCATGGGGTTTTAGTCAGGGAAGAAGTCCCATCTGATGTTTATGAACACCTTTGTTTAGATTTGACCTGGATGCCAGATTCTGCTGGGCTTCTTTTAAGCACTGATACTTTTGGGGATTTTTTTGGGGTCATGTTAAATCTGTATAGGAGAGATTCAAGAAGTGTATTTGCATTTGCAACAGCCTTTATAAAAGTGAGTCATACCTACTACCAAAGGGGGGAGAAAACATGTGAAAGGATTTCTGTGGAGCTAGCGGTCATCTCCCCCTCCCTTGCCATTTCGTAGTGAGAATTATCTCAACCTACACCTGAAGCAGAGATCATTCTGCATTGAAAATATTCAAGGGAGTTTCAGGAGCATTCATTCCTGTGCTGTATTGAACCAGTGGACCATGTCCTTCAGCTTGGCTGTATATTTTTTGCCTTTGGTGGTGTTCAGGCATCTCAGGGCAGTTTTTGTGTCCCTCCCCACCCGAAAGCGTGTGACAGAGAGAGAGGGAGAGAGGAGAGGGGTCCCTGTGGGCAGATCAGCTCTGAAAAATCCTGCCTGAAGGCACAGGGACCTGCCTTGCAAACTTGAGCTGTGGATTAGTTGTTCTTCTGCAGCAGCTGTACTGACTGTATGGGAGACTGAGCCTTAGCTAGTTTAGTGTTAGTGAGCCAGAAATGAGAGGTGAAATGCATTTTAACTTTAGCACTCCCTTCCTATGGGAAAAAAAAGTTGTGTTTTTTTTTTTTTTTCCTAGCAAATAGCGATAAGCTTTTTCCTTCTTTCACACAATTTAAGGTCACTCACCTTAGGCCACTGGTAGATTTTAATGATTGCTGGCAAGTTGTCTGGATGCTTTCTGGCTTCCTCATCAGAGAGCTGCTTGGCATTGGTCCTCCCAGACATCTGCTAGCTCTTGTGCAGGGTGGAGAGACTCTGTCCCGCTGCTGCCTGGGCACGTGGAATTGGGTCACTGCTGAGGGATTCACCGTGACTTGAAAGCCTAAACAACAAATCTGAATGTGGTATTTTACATAGGAAGCTTTAGAATAAAAAAATCTGTTGTTCCTGCCCACCCAGCCTGGTCAGTCTGCCTTGTCTTTAGTTTTTTGGGAAACAAAACTCTTGGTTTAGTGAAGAAACTTGTAGAAATTCTTGAACTTAAAAAAAAAAAAAGTAATGCAACAATTTATCATCTGTCATTTGAATACATTTTTTTAAAATGTGTTTCCATTTTAGTTGGATCGTGCTTATGAAACCTGATTATTTTTCAGACTTTATGAAAACAAAGGAGAAGCAGACTTCAGGGAGTCTCTGCTGCAGCTCTTTAAGTCCATCAATGAGATGATGAGCAGCATCTCTGATCAAACTGTCATAGTGAAGGTATGTACTTTACAGGTGTCTATCTTGGCTTTACTTCTGCATCATAAACCGCAGTTAGGTGGTTGATGAAGTGTATGCTTGTGTTTGTCCCCAAAAGCGTATTTTACCTCAAACGTGTCATACTTCGTGCTTCTAATGAAGGGTTTGTGACTATATAAAGAATGTGCTTCAAACAAGCAAGTTTACTTGAATTGCTTCGAATGCCTCACTTCTGTTTTTGAAAGAGAACTTAGTTAGGGGTTAAATGGTGTTTAGCTTATTTAACTTGTGTAACCTTAACTTTTAGGTATTTTTAAGGCATTGTCTTGAAGATACTGATGACAATGTAGAATCTTGTATTCTTATGCACGTATTGATATCCCAGGCTGGTCAGGAATTTCAGTGTAGTATCTTAAGCCCTATTACATGTTTTTAATGGAAAATCAATAGTGAGTCAGACTGCAGACTCCACCCCACACCCCTCTTCTTTTGTCCCTTTAAAATGGTAGCTACTTTTGGGGTCATTGGCTGGCTCATGGAATTGGGAATGTGGTCTCTGACTTCAAATGAACATGGGTATTGATATCACAGAGCAGAAGCATTGAATTATAGGACTAGTAGATTTTTGTATCCAGAGGAGTCTGAGGTCATTTTGCCAATACTGGTCTCATGTTCTGTTAGTGAATGTCTTTCACTGTGGAAAAGTACAGAGACTTGTCATAAACACACGTTTGATAAGCTACGCCTTGAAGTTCTCCTTGTGATTCCAAATAGAATTTGTAAAAGGACGTAACTCTTGACCTAGCCATGTGGAGTCAGTTGAAAGCTGATGTTCAGAAAGGGGCTAAGAAATGGGGTTGAATTTGGGGACAGTTTGACAGCATGACTCCTCCTGCTCAGATGTGCACTAGTCGTGTATTAGAAGAATTTTTTATAGCAGCTGGGAAGCAAAGACAGACAGTGGCAAAGTACTGTGCCAGTGCAAGAGGTTCCTCTTGAAGCGAACTGGGAAGAGTACAGCAGGAAAACACCTAAGTCAAAGACACCGGTCCTTTGTAGCTGAGTGCTTGTGGGCCTTAGGCTAGTAATACCATGCTGAGCACACGGCAAAAATAGATAGTGGGGATAAAGCTGCTGAGTTCGAATATTTTGGGCAGAGAGACTGAGATTGTATCATCTGATAACAAAATAGGGATATTACATGTTTCAAGAAAGCTGTATTTTCATTCCATTGACACAGCATCTATCCTGAATGGAAATTGGTAAGTTTGAGTCAGTGACTCAGAGTGTGCTATCTGGTGTTTTACAAATAGAATGTTTTCAGATTACGAGGATTGAATGTAAGATTTATTTTCCTGAGACTCGTTTGTGAGGCCTACTTCAGGAAGGCAGATGAACATGAGCTTTTTCTTTTTCAGCAGTATAGACCTTGGGGAAAAAAAAAACAACCCAAACTCTAAAAACCAGATTTGGTTGTCTTCACCTGAGATGCAGGAAAAGAAGACAAACTTCCTAGCAAAGGCTAGAGAGGTCCCACTAGAGCAGTGTCTGTCCTAGTCTGTATACTGTTTCACATTCAGATCTCTGCAAACTTGGGTGGAGCACATCTCCTGTCTGCATTTGGCTTCGTGAAGTGCACTGGTGGATGAAGCATTGACAGATGAACCGATGTGGGGTTGTCCGAGAAGTGTGCTTGTGGATGCCTTTCAGAAGCCTTGACAACCTTTCGTTCATTATTCATTGCTTTCATCTCCTTTGGACTCTAATTACTTAGCTCTTAGAACACATAATTGTTAGTATTGGCTCTTTGCAGCTTGTGAAATTGCTTTTATTATGTTCAAATATCCACTGAATTACTACAGTTTTTTCAGTAACCAGAAATGTGTGGTTCTATTACAAAGAATAAAATTATTGAATAGGTGGATAAATGTGGGGGTTTTGTTTGAGAAAGAGTGAATATGACTTCTGCGAATCTTGCCTGACAAAGCTGTAGAGTCCTGGGAGGGTGTCAGTAACCACATAAAGTGGACATGACATTACAGGCGTCACTCAGCATCTTTATCAGTGGTCTGGAGTTGGTAGTTAAGTACCACACTCGTGGTGAGGAACATCAGAAGGACCTGACAAAACTGAGGGAGCTAAAATGTGAGCTGCAAGGTAGACAAATGTAAGGCAGTGCATCTCAAGAAGAGTGAATTAATCCCTGTATGGTGCTCTACTTGAAGCTGGCAGTTGCAGTTTGGGCAAGACACCTTGATGTCATAACTGACAGCTCTCTGGGGTCATCGATTTCATGCGCAGTCGCAGGTGAAGAAGCAACAGGATGTTGAGTGTCAGCCAGAAGGATAATGAGAACATGGCAGGGCTGTCATGTTTTTGTTAGATAGCCTTGGTGCATCCACATCTTGCATGCCAGGTGCTGTTTTGGTCTCTGTACCTCAGGAAACAGTTAAAGGGGTACGGAGGACACGGACTGGGAATGGTGCATCTTCCTGGTGAGTGAGCGGTCTGTGAAACTCTTGTGCACCAAATCCTACAGGACAAGAAACGGAGTACACTCACTGCCATCAGTAGGAGGTTCATTCAAAACAAATAACAGAAAAATTTTTCATTTCTGAAGCTTACTGTCACAGGGGGTTATGGTGGCAGACCCAGAAGGAGGTTGGGCAGGTTTACAGTCCAGAGGTCCATAGATGTTCTGAAAGGATGGGTGGAGATGCGGCCTTTAAAGGGTGCTGGGGGAGCCCCGAGGGGAATGGACCACAGAAGCTCTAAATGACATCTCCTGGGGCCGCTGTTGGAGACCCAAGTGCTGGGCTATACAAACTGTTAGGGTGACACAGTGAACGTTTCTCCTGCTCTTGGATACTCTGTTGAAGTTTTGTAGAAAACTAATGAAGATAAGTAGGTAAGTTGGTAGGTCCATGTGTTGTGCGGTTCAGATCAGAAGATCTAGCTGTAACAGTTTCAGGCTTTTTTTACTGTTTTTAAATATATATTGGGGAAACTAAATAAGTGTATACAAAATAAGTCTGTTTGGAGAGATAAGAAGTTGAAAAGACCTACATAGAAAATTAAGGTGCTTCACATTAAAAGAGACAGATGCTTAATTCATACATTTGAATATTTCTATTTCTCCTTGCAAAAGTTGTAATCTGTCTTGATGGTTTATCAACATGAAGCAGAACTGCCACTGGAAGGTTTTTCTGAAATGTTCGCAACTTTTCTCTTTGGACTGGTTATACTGATTTTTTTTTTTTTTTTTTTCCCCCAGCCTATCTGTTAAGAGAGCAGCCTTCAAGCTGACACTGTGCAGGGGAGAATGAATGACTGCAGTCTTATGTTCTTACCAAGAATTACTCTTTATCTATTCAAATATTTATGTCCTTGTGGAAGCTGATGAGCTGTTTCTGACTGTAGCTCAGGTTTTCAGTCACCTAATATTTTGCATTTAAATTGCCCCTTTTTTTAAGTTGCATTTTTCAAGGCTTTGGGTACATTTAAAAAAAAAAAGTTTCCTCAAAAGAAAACTGTATGAATTGTACAAGGATTTTAAGATTGTAGAGCACAAAAAGAGACTTTGAATTTGTACTGCTTTTAGGATTATGGCTATTCAGAATTTCTTAGTGTAGGGGAGAATTTGTATGTGCGGCTGCTTTGCAAACCTGACTTCAGTTCCAGCCTTTAAGGAAACAAAATCAAGAGTATTTTCTGTAGAGGACATATTAAAAGTAGTACTTAAAAAGTTTTGCAGGCTGCAAGTAGGTATAACTGTATGCAGCACTGATTAAATTTTCCTCATGACTTAAAACCAAAAAAAAAAAAACAAACAACAAAGAAAAAAGCAAAAGCCCTTGTATATCTGCAAAATCCTCTACTGCACCAAAATCATGCTTTGCATTACCGAGGATGCTCTGACTCCCAGTCTCATGGCTGGGAAGGGCAATGACCTGATCTTTTGCACAGGATCCTCCAAGAAGCCTGGAGTTGGCCTGGAATTAGGGAGAAGGGTGTCTGCGTCAGCTGTCCATCCATGGGGGGTCGGTCAGAGGAGGGGGCTCAGAAGGTGACCCTGGTCCTGGCTCCGCTCTGCTGCCCGCTGTGTCGGTCCCGTTAATGGGCACTTGATGGCTGAGGAGCTGGTCACCTCCGCCTTCGGCTCCGTAATTGTAGGGGCTGGCTTTGCATATGTCTGGAAAAAACTGTATTTTTTTCAGAGTGTAAAGGTGTGTTTCCTTTTGTGAGCTATTGGTGTTGCAAAATAATAACGATTTAAAAACATTATTACAAAATTTGAGTTGCAGTGCTTTGGCTACGTATTTTTACAATAAATAGTTAAAAATCTATATGTTCTTGGAACACGGTTTGACCAGGACTTTACTAGCATTTATAGTGGACTGAAATATGTTGCAATCAAAACATTAGGGTATAAGAATGAATAAAAACCACTTTCTGCCTAGGCCTAGGCTATAAAGGCAGCAATAGTCAATCCTATAGGTTTTGAATTTGAGAAGCTGGTGTGGTATGAATTACAGTGTTCAAAACAATGCAGAGTCTGTTTTTTATAGGTAGTTAACTAAATTTAATTGCTAGGGGTTGGTGTTGGTTTTTTTTTTGGTGTGTCAGTGTTGGGTGCAGCAGAGGCAGACATTCAGAGGCCGCCTTTTACACTTGATTTTTTTTTTTTTTTTTAAGGTGTGCAGTTGTCCAAAGTGGAGAGGGAAATTCAAACAGTGATTTGAGCTGACAGATGTTTTGGTTGTCCTCTTGCTAACAAAGATTTTTCTTGCATGACAAATGGTAGTGGGCTGCAGTAATAGTTTGAGAAGTAGAGAGATTAAACTTTATTTTTCAAGTATTAGTTTGATTTTAAGAATTACTTCATTAAATAACATGTACAGCATTTGGTACATGCACATATTTTTAATGGTTACAAGTATAGTGAGCTTTCCTGGTTTTATTCCTATTTTCTGCTAATTGATGCATGATAATTATTTCCTTAACCTTTTACCATTTAAGCA